TGCAGTCCCATGCCCAGTCCCTGCCCTGCTCTGTTAGTGCACAGGCTGGGCAAGGTCGCCGTCACAGGGCCAGCAGTGCAGGCTGGGCTGCTGGGGGCAGCTCAGCTCAGTGTCCCTGGGCTGGCAGTGTCTGTCCTTCACATCTGCTCAGGGCACGTGGTGGCCAAGCTGCCTCCTGACGCTCCATGCGTGGTCCAGGCTTTGGCAGGGGACAGGTGAGATGGCTCACAGGGAACTGTGGTCATGTGAGTTGGCAGTGATTCAGAGCATGCTGCGTTTTCCTGCAACGGGGTTTCCCCACGTGCTTGTTTGTGAGCCTGGAACTGGCCACAGCAAAGAAGAGCAAGTTTAGTGCTTCTCTCCTGTATTCCAGAAATGTGGGAAAGATGAAATGTCCTTTGCATCTTGCGCAGCAAAGTCCCTTGCAGATTATGGTCCCCAGCGAGCTCAGATTAACTGGGAAGTGGAAAGAGAGAGAGAAGGGCAGAGCAAGCCCCGCTGGGGTTATTATGGGCAGCGTCGTGATGCCTGAGCTGTACTGGCCCCTGGTCCCAGAAGGCAGAGCTGTTGGTACCCGATGGTGGGAGGTACCTAACCTGGCTTGGGCCCTGGGTGCCGCTAGGGCTGGAAGGTTTGAGCCAAACCCTCCCTGCACTACTGCCCCTTCCTGCTGCTTTGCGCTGGCTCCTGCCCTCGTGGTGCTCTCCTGGTGCACTTCTCCGCTCAGCAGGCCTGTAGACTGCAGAGGTTGTGGGACATGCTCCAGATCCCCCGAGCCATCTGCCAACACCGCACCACGGCTCTGTGTTTGCAATGCTGCTGCCTCTCCATTTTCTATGTCGTCAGGTGAAGTTGTATTTGTGAGATCTGGCAGTGCTGGAGATTCACGTTCATTCCCAGGAAGGGCTTCAGCCTGGGTTGCCGACCCTGGGGCTCATGGAGGCTCCCTCCTCCCTGTCACACGAGTCCAACTCCTGTCCTGACCTCCTGTACAGGCTGGAAAGGGGTGCAAGCGCCACAGGCCCCCTGCTTACCTGCATCTCTCTCACCTACTGCCAGGCACAGCATTGCCTCATCCCCTGGGCTCCTGGGCTTTTGCAAAATTTGTTTTCAAAGGCAGCAAGTCCCTGAGGTCAGGTAGACCCTCCATGCTTTTGGTGCATGCTCACTGCTGGGCACTGCCCGAGGAATCTCTCCTCTTCCCCCTGGACACTTTTGATCTCCTCCTGGAGCCCTCAAACGCTTCCCTGGCCAGGGACTACCTGCATGTCCCAAGAGATGTGTTGTTTGCTCAGGTTGCACCTAACCCTCCTCTCCCCATCTAACAGAGCGGTCCAGGAGGTGGTGGCCAGAAGTGCTGGAGGAGGGACCCAGCCCTGTGAAGGTGGAGGGGAGCAGGATGGGGCACACTTGCCAGTGAGGTGGGGATACTGGGCTGGCTGGGGACAGGGAAGCAAGCTGAGAGGTGGCCCACTATACCGGGTGGGAACCAGCCACAGATATAGCCTTCCCAGGGGGGACATCTGCTGAGGGCTGTGTAGAAACAGGGACGGCTCCTCGGGCAGCCAGGAAGCCTCACAAGGCCAGAGCTGATACCGCCGAGGACACTTCCTTCATAAACAGCTCTGATAAAATCTGAAGTATGGGCAGTTGGCTGTGCTTGGGCTTGTGGTTTTGGCCTCTGTCAGGTCTTGCTGTTTTCCTTAATGCTGTAGCCCTCTGTCACTAGCCAGAGCAACGCTGCTTCCCGGTGATGTCGTGTCATCACAGCGATGTCACTTTGTCACAGCGACATCATATCATGCCAGCAACACTGCACTGTTGCAGTGATGCTGTGTTCTCATGGTGACATCACGTCATCTTGGTGAAGTCAGAGATGATGCTGGAGGTTTCCCTCTCTGCCCAGCCTGCAGTGAGGGGGGGCATTCGCCCTCCCTGCCCAGCTGGGGCACCACGTCCGTCCCTAGGGCTCGCAGCCATGGCCACCAGCAGAGATTGCACACTCTGTGAGCAGGCTCAGTAAAGATCCTGGACCCACAGCAGGAAGCAGCTGCAGGAGGGATAAGCCAGGCTGAGCCTTGAGTGGGCCACTGACATCCCAGGCCCAGCGGCAGCCCTCTGGGACACTCAGGTTGTAAGCTTGCCACATGCCAGAGCATCACTGGAAGAGGCTTTTCCTCCTCCTAACCCCTGAGATCCTCCCATCCTGCCCACTGGCCCTCAGGGATGCAGTCTGCTCCCCTGGAAAGGGCCTGGGGAGCTGCATGGACCCAGCCAGGACCAGGACCCAAATGCATGAGGTGCTGCACAAGTCCTTACGCCAAAGAGCTCAACATTAGTGAGGACAAGGCAGGCAGAGTGAGGAGCAGCTAAGCCCCGGTGTTGTACCCATGGATGATGCGCAGCACCGGGCTTGGGGCTGTGCCAGGTCAGGGCTCCCGCCACCCCGCGGGGCTTGGGGTGCTGCCCGTGGGGCAGAGGCCTCTCGCATTCACCTGTCAGTGCACTGAGGAGCTGCTCCAACCCTGCTGACAGAAGGGGATAGAGGGTTTTATTTCCCTTAGCACCACTATAACCTGGTTTGTAACTGGAGAGTGGAGGCATGCCTGTTAATGAGGTTTCCCTAATAAACATGAGCCTTGAATCAATTAATTAAACCACCGTCTCCTCGAGACAAGACTGGAGTGATGCTCTGGCTCCTTTCAAGCAGTTGCTGATACACGCACCGCAGCTGGCTACGGAAAGCCTGGCTAAGCCTCAGCGACTAAAACACCGCAGCAGGCGAGAAGGCATCGCGGCTTCACCAGCTCCTGGGAAGACAGGAGAAAACTGCAGCATGGGATGCAACTCCAGCCCTTTGTGCTGACCCTCTTGGCTTGCGAACATCTGTCTGTAGGGCCTGAACCCACCTACTTGTGAGGATGGAGAGATGCCTGGCGTGCGTGCCTCCAGCGTGACCTGCAGTGCTGCCGGTGCGGACGCACCTCGGGAGAACGTGCAGCCGCCGGCAGGCACAGCTTTAGTCCCCACGAGGCAAGAAACTTTGTGCTCGTCCGTGGGGAGAGGAAATTCCAGCTCCAGGATAAGTCGCAGCAGCCATTGGGAGGCGGCTGCATATTTTCACAAGCTGCCGTGATTTCATTAGCAAATTGATTACAGCTAATGAGGTGAAACCAAAGCAGAGAATTGCACTGGTACCTGAGGAGACCCAAAGCTGTATTCCTTCCTCCACTGCCTCTGTTCCTGCAGCTGGGTGTCTTGCAGAGCAGCTGTGCTCTGGAAGGCATTTGCTTTCATGCTCTGCAGCTATTCCAAGCTGCAGAGAGCTCACGTACCAAAAAGCTGAGATCTAGCGTTGCTGTTCAAGTGACTAAGGATTTGTCACCTTCCTTTTCAGAACGATCCCATTTTGCAGCCAGAAAAAAGCAAAGAGGAAGGGAAAAGTGGGTGGAGGAAGGGATGGGGTATCACTCCTAATTGTATAACTTTATAACATCAGTGCCCTGCTTAAACGGCACTTAGCCTCTCCTGCATGTTTGCCAATATATGTTGCAATTCCCAGGGCAGTTCTCATCTGGCCTGCCTGAGCGACAGGGATGAAGTCTTGCTGTGTGCAGCCTGCCAGGATCCATGCCCTGGACCAGCGGGGGAAGACACGTTCGTGGCTCCAAAGGCAGAGCATGTCTTTGGTCAATGGAGGTGCAAGAGAGCAATACAGGAGAGCTGCAGGGCATGCATGCATGCTCCTGTGAGCTGGGGCCTTTCCTATGAGCTCTGAGCTCACAAATTCCCCTTCTTATATCTTCTGATAGGAGGGGGACAGGAGGGCCTAGAGGAAGGGCTCAGTTTACCGGAGGTCTTGAGATGTTCTTTTTCTTTTTTTCTGAAGAGCCAGCCTTGACTCCTCAGACACAGCAGCTGGGAGAAAAGCTTGCAAAGGGCAAACTGAACGAGGGAGGCATTGGGAGGCAAATACAAAGCGCTCTATCCCCTAAAATTAGATTTTCAGTTCTCATGATTGTTTAAGCCAGTCATAACTTTCAGGAGCTGAATTTGGGTTTACAAGGCTTGAAGTTATCAGTGCTGCTGCAAGGGCCAGACCTGCAGCCTTACCTACAATATGTACTGGCCCACAGGCAACGCACTACGATGTGCACTGAAACCTGCACGTACCCCCAGAGGAGCCTCTCTGAGCAGCATCAGTTTGAAGCAGCACTGTGGAAGCCATGGCAGCACCACAACCACAGCAAATCCCTTTCCTGTTCTTGGTGTGTCAGAGAGACTTAGAAAGGCAATGCACCTAGGATGCCTGGAGAGCTTGCCCGGCAAATTGCTGCAGCCATAGCTCCTGGGAATCAAAAGCAAATCACAGAGTCTCCCTAGAAATAGAGGGACCTGATCCTGCCTTTGACTCAAGGGCTCTGTGCAATATGGGTAACCACACCTCTCCCATAGCGCTTTCCTACCATCCACTAGGCTCAGCATAAAAAATAGGAGTGGGTTCCCTGTTGCTGCTCGGTTGTAGCAATGTCCCAATACAGGACAGCCTGTCTGGTGGAGAGGATTTGTCTTGGGCAAGAGCTCTGAGAATAAATATTTCAAGGTGGAAAAATGCAAATTGCTTTCAACATCCAACTCCAGGACATACGGACCATGCGAAGGAGCTATTTGAAACCCAGGAGAAAGACACGGGGTCTGTCTGGGCAGATTTGGATCAGCAGGACGAGGCATAGACCTTCCCTCACAGTCGGGGCTAGGACCACGTGCCAGGCTTGGGCCTGCCAGCCTGGCTTTCCAGTCCCCTCTCCTGAGCCCGTGATCCCCAGGGGAGAAGGTCCCTTCTCTTTGCTTTCTGTCTCCATGGATAACACGTTCTCACCTTGAGGGGAGTGGAAATGTCAGCTGGAATGTGGGCTGGAAAAGAAAAAAAAAAGAAAATCTTGAGGCTTGTCCAAACCTACTCATGTTTATATTGGAGCCTGTGAGTGACATCAGAGCAGGGAGAGTATAAACACCAGCAGGACCTACGCGGGGCTTTAAAACCTGCAAACACGCTGCTGCCTCCAAACTGCCTGGGGGGTGATGTGCTGAAGTGTCGGCAGAGAGAGCAGCATGAGACTCCAGCTGGAGAAGCAGCTTCTCTTCTTCTCCCTTCTCTGCACCCTTTCCAAGGTAAGGGAGCTGGGGTCTTGGGGTGCCGTTAGCTCTAGTCAGGGAAGAGTCTGATTCTTGCAAAATGAGGCTCAGGGAGGACTCCAGCATCACAACACGCCAGCTCCGAGCCCTTCGCCCAGTGACTAACGCCTGCTGGCAGAGGGGCTGTATTTATGCAGTCTCACGGAGGCAAAGTAATGCCAGACAGAGACACTTGGATTTAAGCAGCAGGGTCCTAACGTTTGTGGGCCAAATGTGCCTGTTGTGCGCGCCCATGGAGCATGCAGGAATGACAGCAATGTGCTCAGCTTGCCTGGGGTGGTGGTATGCGTCCCCACAAGCGGCAGCTCAGCAGCAAGGGCGTGCGCAGCTCCTTCTGCAGATTCCTTGCTCTGGGCTCGAGTCTCGAGGCAGGGGGCCAAGCAGCTAGCACCAGCGGCAGGATTACTCAGTTCTCCCCCCTGTGATGCTCGTGTAAAGCTGATGCCTCCTACAGGATTTGGGTTGTCCTAGTAACCATTTTCTCTTAGACTCCGCATGAAAGAGTTCCCTGTGCACAGAACAGGAAAGCTGAAAACTTTGGGGTATCTCAGCTGCAAATTCTTTTAATTGCTGCTTGAATCTCCAAGACAGACCTTCTGCAAGCGGAGACATCATGCCAGCTTCATGCCTGTTTGACTCTTTCTAGACAGTTAAGATCTATAACAGGAGACACATTGTCATTTAAAGGCAAGTTAATTACAAGGAGCAGAGGGAAATGGATTAATGGAGTTGGCCTGGCTAATCTTTCTAGAACATCGATCCGTAATAGTAACCTCCCGAAAGATGAAAAAGCAGCTGGCTGCCTGGGTAAGCTGTAACTGAGAAATGATTTCTGCTCCAGGAGCGCTCAGTGCATTTCTAAAGAATCTCCAATGGCCCTTCTAGCTCCAGCCCAATCTCTGTCACCACAGATAGTCCTTCAGTCCCTGCCGTGGCTCTCACGGTGGTTTTTGCCGTGGTAATTAGGCAATTCATTAACAAAACAGGAAGCCACAGACTTTCCAGGCCGTTTTGGATATACTTCATCTTCCATTAGTAGCATTGACATTTCTGTAGGCAGATTAAAAAAAACCATCTAGCCACCTGAACTGCTGCAGATGAGGAAAACAGATGGCACGCCAGTACCCATCTTCTCTGTCCTACTGGTCATATCAGAGTTGATGCTTAAGAAAGAAGGATGGTAGCTAAAACCCGCATGGTCCAGCTGAGTCCATTGATCTCTTGGCAGTCTCAGCAGAGACACCAGTGTCTGGATCAGCATGAGACTGGATTTTTTGGTTGCGCATTTGCTGAATTGCTCTCTAAACTTCACGTGTTGGACCTGCTGCAAGCAAAGTGCGCGTGGCCCCAAGCAGCAGTCCTGCCAGCTGGGAACAGGGGTGCTCAGAGCCAGTCCGCTGCAGTTTGTGTTATACTTACACTGGCTGCCAGTCCAGCACTGGCAAAGAATTCGCTTCCAACACATAGATCCGAAGCATTTGGCTTCGGTCTCTATAGGCAACAGCTCTGTCACTGATCCCTGTCAGATGTGACATGACGAGACCAAAAGTGCTGCCTGCAAAAGCCGTTTGTGCCCAGGGTAATTGGGCATGCAGAATGAGCGGCAGCTATAAATATTTACCTGCCTCGGTGGACTCCTGCAGGGCCCAGCGCTGGCAAAGCAGCCAGCTGAGCAGGCGGGGCACAGACCTGACGAAGTAATTAGTCTAGCTGGGAGGGAAAATTTAGCTCCCAATGTTTGCAAAAGCGCCAGTCAAAACGCTCCTTGCCCAACTGGCCAGACCAGGCGGAGGATGCTGCAGCTGGGGAGAGCCCAGAGGGGGAGGCGTCTGGACCAAAAAGGAAAGCAGTGAGACTTACTTGGCTTTAGTTCTCCCATTGCATGTACCTCACCCTAATTCTTGGCATAAAGACAAGCTATTAAGACCTCTCCTGAGAACAGAGGCGCTGGGCAGGAGCTGTACCCTCACCGTGCACATGCTCCCGTGCGAAGCTGCATCCCGCGGCCGCCGCAGCAGGCTTTCACCCCGCTGCCATCGCCGGGCTGGTTACGGCAGCACGCTCCATCCTTGGGGCTGCTATGACCATTTACCCAGTGCAGGAGCACAACTGCAGCGGCTTTTGCAAGGCTGTGAGGAAGGAAAGAGGAAAATGGACAACGTGAGGAGCTTCTCATCCGTTTGCTAAATGAATGCCAGTACGTGGGATATTCATTTTGCACCTCCATTCTCCTCCTGTTCATTGGGAAGGGCTGTGAATTTAGGTCCTCATCTGCTGGAGGGTTGGGCATCCTGATTCTCCCTGGTTTCTGCAGGGGGCTGAAGGTGCCCATCGTGCTGTGCAGTCAGGCCCTAGGAGGACAGTAGTTTTCCAGGCTGCTTTGCCACATTCCCTTAGACTGAGCCTCTCTCCACCGAAAAACTGCCCCCACCCAGCAACACCTGAGCTTGAGAAAGGAGCTCCTAGAGGTCCCAGCGAAGTAGCAGTGCTTAGCTGGTGGGGACGAGATGGTTTTGCCTCTGCAGGTGTGTGCCCAGCTGTGCCAGAGGCCCTGCTACTGCCCCT